GCTCGTCGTTGCGCTCGTCGTTGCGCTCGTCGTTGCGCTCGTCGTTGTATTGGTGAAAGTGGCGCGTTAAGCAGCAACCGCCAGTTGGCAGACTTTTCGAGCCTTAGAAACACATGAATGAACGCGCATACGCGCGTCACGCGACATGTACCGTTGCTCGAATCAAGACTGGGAGACTGGAGCTTGTTTCAAGGGTCCTAAGAAGATTATTAGCGAGAAATCGCTTTTTCACGAGAGATCCCGAACGGTGAACACGAACGGTTAATGACGAGAAAAGCGGGAAAACCGAATGGATGAAGCGTTCCTTGAGATTGAGCCTTCAAAACGGAAACTGCGGACCGTCAGATCGGGCTGTGATATACGAGTATGTATACATATACGTAGTAATGCTGAAATAAGGAGCGAGGGAATTTAATATTTATGAGGTCGATTCACATTTGTCGCACTTAATTCGTCGGTCATAAAAAATGAAGTAGTTGAATTAATACCAAAATTTGAATGGTTTAAGACATGTAAAATTTGTTAAGTTTTAACACAAATTTCCCAATTGTGTATATAAATTATATATTTTTTAGCTATTTTTTCAACTCTAGAAAAGAGAAAAGTTTTTTGTGACTATAATTACGTGGTACCATGTTTATAGTTATAATAATATTAGTAACAATAATTATATGTGGTTTTATCGATAAGTATATATATATAGGAGTATGTATATATAGGATGTACAAAAAGTCTCGAACCCTTAAATATCTTAAAAAATAAGCACTTCTGAAAAAAATGTTTTAAGTCGCAGGACTTAAAGAAATTAAATGGTGACATTTAAATTTTGGATGACCTTGAAAAGCCCTGTCAAAGTTAACACAAAAATCTCAAATGGAAACTCTTATTTTTTGTTACATATTCTTGCAGCTGAAGTCGCGACACTATAATAAAGTATTTTTGTAATCAATACTTAACAAATTACAAAGCTTGAAAGTGCCACTGGCATTATATCGTTACACCTATAAGGGGTATCGTAGAGGCGATAATGCCGATCGTATTTATACGTCGCGCGCGTAACTTTCAAGTGTCATAACATTAGAAAAATTCTTTGTTATAGTGTATAGTTGGCACTGAAAATGACTATAAGTATATATTTCTTGATAAAATTAAACAAATATAATTTTTTTATTACCAACGTTGTAACAGTAAATTAATTAAAGTATACCATGTAATTATAGTTACAAGTATACCAAAAACTTTTCTCTTAATGTAGAATCATATTTCTTAACTACTTTCCTAACGTAGACTAGCACGTTAGTTGCTAGTAAAAAAATATTGTGTAAATTTCACTTCGTGTTAATATGAGATTGACAATGAAAATCGATCTCATCGCTCATCGACATTTATTTTCATGGAACTTTCACTCGCCGTGAGATTCACTTTCTTCTCGTAAGGACTCGCGAGTCCAGGATGATCCATCGAGAAGCGAACTCGAGTTGCGAATAGAGTTCTTATAATAAGAGACTGAACAGTTGTTGTTGTCCATGTATGGATTCGAACTGGAAGTTTAGTCATAAGACACGAAATATTCAAATACAATTAAAACAGGTACATAAGTGAAAATATTGATTTATTTTTCTTAGGCTGCTAAGGACCTACATATATATTATTTATCCACACAGTCCATCGTATTTCGTATTTTCTTTAAAAAATTACACATTTTAAATCCTTATGTATAATATTGTAGATAAATTTCCGCAAACTTCGTGTTAACTATACATCTAGGCGTGTCAATGCAGTCGAAACTAGATTAATGTAATCTACACATAGATATGTCAAAAACTTGTATTCATTGGCATAAATGTCATTATACATTTTTTTCTGTATTTTTTTGAAAGATGTTAATCTAATACACATACTTCTCTTTCAACACCCTTCGTAAACTTTATAAACTGTATATAACTTGGCAAATTGCTTATTGTTACTCTGCTGATCACTTTTACATTATCCTAACCTGAAAAACTTCTGGTTTCAACCCAAACATAGCGGAGCCAATCAAAAGTAAAGTAAGACGCGTACGGTGTTTAGACTTTTAGTAGGGACTCTAGTTGCAGATTCATCGTTGCATTCTATATCACCGTGCAGATTTGCGCGGAACACGCGGTGTTTAGAGCGACCACATTCTCGAAGAGACACAAGGCCGTTTTTGCTCGAGGAATGTACATACATACTCGTACATATGTAATGAAACGCGCCGAGTTTTTCCAATGCTCGTTGGGACGTGCTCATGCACGCGATGATATAATTGCAACTATAATGTATCCGCAACGCCATTACCGATGGTCGCATTAGCATGCACGCGGACGGGATAGGTTTGCCTTGAGATTATCTCCGTGACGTAGTTTGCGAGATGTCAAACACGTGCGGTATTCGCGGTGCGTCGCGTGTCTGTGCGTAGCGGCCATTACAAGATGAGGATTCCGGATTTGTCGCCTCACACCTTCACACTTGTTCTATCGAAAAAGCTGGCAGGAACATGGAAATCGTTGTGAAAGCCACCAGCAGCGGAATTCTGTAACTCGTTATGCAATCGTTATGTTGTTCATAACGACAGTTGTGCAGATATTTTACATAGTAAAAAAGCTCCGCAACTGTCGTTATCAACACATAACGACTGTATAACGAATTATAGAATATAGGGGCTGGGATGTAAAATCATTCCAGATGCACTGAGAAAAAAAACAATGATTGTAATTACTGTAATTACTGTAATTTAAATATGTATAATTCATAGTCATCTTCACAGTGCCAATTACATATTTTTCGATAGGACTATAAATATAATTATTATTACTAACATTATAAGCTGTAATAACTATAAAAATGGAATTCCTAATTATAATTATTTTACCGTGCAATTATAGTCACAAGTACCAAATTACTCTCCCAATCAATATGATTATGTTCTGGTTAAAAGGAAGGAACGACGTATTCTGTATCTTATATATGTTGCTTTCTTTAAAATAGTTGGATCCTCTTCTGTTTATATACACGTACAAAATTGTGTTTACACATATATTTGCCGGAAAAACCTAAAAAGGAAAAAAAAAAACAATAAGAAGTTAAGTCACCGGAAGTTAAGAGTTACATGTATCCACTTTTGAAAGTTGATACGACAAGTTGATTGTGATAGAAGCATTTAGTGCATGCTATTGCAATTGGCTGTTCTTTATATTGTAATACCGTCTGGAAACTGCAGTTTATTTTTACAACGATTTATTATTAGAAGAGAGAAGGTAACGTTTTTTATCTCCACGGATTTTGAATTAATAATTTTTGACGAATTTAAGCAACTTTTACCGTATATTAGTATTCAAGATTTTAATGGATATTTTTATTGCGATATTTTATTGTTTATTAACATTGAGAATAATCCAAATTGAGTTTGTTTGATTTCTGTATTCGAATTATATGATTTATTAAATATTACCTGCACTCAACACCCAGCTTTGGCATAAATACTCGTAGCGAGTATTTATTTTTAAAAATTTTAACACTCTCTCTCTCTCTCT